TCAAGTTATTGAATTTAATTTTCCCAACCCCAGCATTTCGCTTCGTGAGCTCATTTGCAGTCACAACCCATAGTTTAAGAAGTGCTGCATTAAACCATAAGAAGGCCAGAGGAAATAATTTTAATTACTTTGCATGTAAATAGATTTATATATAGAAATGATGCTCATGTGACATAATAGGTAAAGAGTTATTGTAGCTATGACAGTCATGGAATATGGACAGGATTTAACACTGACCATGGAATGATTTTGGGGGCTCCAAGATGGCAAATACTCTAGGTTTTCCTTGGACAACAGTAGCAAGGGTATACCAGGAATATGCAAATTCTGTACAACAGCATGTAAAAACTGCAGGTACCCAGAGAGGAGGCAAGAATGGAAATAATAATGGCTGACAAGGATAGTAGACACTCAGGGCAGTTGGATATTAAATTACATCTCAATTAAAAACTGGTGTTGCTCAACCTGTAAGTCAATCCACTTTACAGAATACACTATACTATCAATTACTGTGCCTCATCTGGGTCAGAAAACATTATCATTAGATCATGGGAAGGTGGTGCCATGTTAGCTGGTCAAATGAATCAAAGTTTCAGTTTTTTTGGCCAGACTGTCAAGTTTGTGTGAAGATGATTGATTCATTTATTTTTTACAGCTTATCAACCGTTTGTGGATTATTTAAGCTGAAACATATTTTGGATTGTAAGAATAATTCTTTTTTTGTGAGTTAATATTGCATTAACAATTTTTTAGAATAACAATGATTTTTCTGGATACAAGTCCCACTATTTAACCCATAGCTGAGGAGAAAGAAAAGATGGAGTCATGTCTTTCCCAAGGGTGGTTTGAAATGTGGAGAAAAGTGAAAAATCCTGATAGCATCATACAACTGAAACCAAAACAGATGAAATCTTCTAGTCTGTAAAAACAATTTAAGGGAGAATTTAACCCTGATCACACTAAGCTGAAGATGCCCATGGAATTAGAATTGCATGTAAATGAAGGTAATGAACCCAACTGGAACTCAAACTTAGTTCTCTGATTTCTCATTCCAAGCCATTATTCACTACACCACATGTACATCCATTTGTATAGAGAAAAGACCATATTAAGTTATCGATAGATATGGATAGCTGAATGAAGATGACTCTCATTGCTTCTGTAATGTTACCTCCTGATGAAAATGTATAAATAGTTTGCAGTTGATTTTTAAAGTCAAGTTGAAGTTGTAATTAATGTAATAAATGCTAGAAGACAGGAATTATGATTCAAAAGTTTTTGTTACAATATCAGTTGGCTTCAAATACACTCATTGGAAAGAAGCAGTGTGCAGATCCACACAGAACAGAGCATTACAACTTTCACCACATTAAAACACTGGTCAGCAAAATAATGCATATACAAGAGATTTCTACTTATGTTCCTAGAATTTGTTTGTAAGTTGAAATGTTCAGAAATGGGTGATAATAAAGGTAATTATAATGTTACTGTATGTTATACTCTGCTTCAAATTAAATCTTTTTCTGATTCACTCTGCATCAAAACCTTTTGGCCAGATAGGGACACTAAGAAAGTAAAAATAAAAATGTTGTTCCCTGTGCAGGAGCTCCAAGCATCACATCCATCTCACAAAACAAATCCTCTTAAAAAAAAGAAGAAAAAATATGTAAAATACAGTATAAAAGTAGCCAATCATGAACATTGCTGCTAAAGCAAGCATGACAAAAACACTGTCAGGATCCACCCTGTCTAACTTTAAGGACACTGCTTACAGCACTGAAGGTAGTCACAAGCAAGCAGGTAAGCTGTCAATATCACCACCAGTCAACTGACCAGACACATGCATCAGGCACTACTGACTCTCCCCATTTTCTAGCTTGCTTCCCTTGCCCACAAAGGCATTCTATATCAGCAATACAAAGAATTTTATCTTAACAAATCTTGTCTACTTTTCTTTCCACTTTGTTATTTCATTTGTTCTTTCATGCAACAATATGCATCTATAACATGCCTAATTCTTAACACTTCTTTGCTTGCTAGTACTGATGTTTCTAAAGGAAAATTCAAAACCAAAAATAACTTTATTAAAACAAAAATTATTTTAATACTTTAGTCAGGATAAAAAAAAATTTGGTTCATTTATACATTGTTTCACAGTTGTATTTTTTTCATAAGTAAAGCTGGTTGATTCATTTGTTTCTTAGACATCATTTTGCTTTACCACTCCTTTATTCCTTTTAAAGCTTTGCAGCTTAGTCTGAACAATTTATATTGCTTACTGCTCACCAAGTCACTTGTGGGGATTACCCCACCTTGTCTCCAAGGATGCCCACTAAGTGTCATTGTTTTCAGGACTATATAAGGAAGACGGAAAGGTTGTAAATACTCTCTTTTTGTTCTGCAATGTAGTAATGACAACATTGGTTTTCTCTGTCAGGGTGTGTGTATATGTCTATATATATATATATATATATATATATATATATATATATATATATTCATCAACATACAAGCCTGTTTCACTGTATCACAGCTCATCAGTGTGGCTAGACATCCGATTGCTTCAAGCCAGGATTGAAACATGACCGATTTGGCATTAGTCAGAGATTCTACCTCTAAGTTATTGGTGCACAACAGAGAAAGGGAAATTTTTAATTCATTGTGTATATGATGTATATAAATGGAAGTCTCCTTAAAAACTGGTGAATCTGTTTTTTGTTTTTTTTATAGCTCCTTTCAGAACTTCTAATAATGCTTGCTAGATGTCATTTTATTTAGGAATCTCTTATTCTGGGATGTAGTAGTGACAATGAGGGGCTAGATTTCTTTCTCTGCCTAATTTCACACAACCACATGGCACCTCACACACACACACACACACACACACACACACACACACACACACTTGAACTATCTGTATACACATAAATATAATTTTCTTTTACTCTATGAATTTTGTTGTCCTTTAGAAATATATGTATACAACTCCACTACATGTTACAATTGTTTCCTTGGAAAATTTTGAATTCATTTACTTTGAATGTCTTCGTTCTAATCAGCAACAAGTTGCAACACTATATTAATATTATATAATCTATAATATTTATACTGATGACACAACTATTTACTCCTGTCCTAATCAGATCAATTTGATAAAGTCAAATTGGTAGTTGATCTAAGAATTCACCTATAATCTGTTCTTAATTGAAGCAAGAAATGGCTTATTAATTTTAACACCTTCCAAATGAAACTGCTCTCTTTTAATATACTGAGAGAACTTTTTTACCTTCCATCAGTATGGCTGATGCTAACTTCCAGAAAAATGACAGTTTGCATCTTCTCAAGCTAACATTTTTTTGAAGTGGAAAGATTATATTGAATCAGTTGTTAGAGTAAGGACGATTTCTTAGTTGAGTGTAACGGTCCTTCATAAAGGAGTGATATGTTCAACTTAGTCATCCTTCAGAAAATTGGTTAATGTTTTTTTTTTTGGTAACGGTAGAACTGTCATGTCCAATTAGTGTTTTTTAGAAGTTGTACTTGGGTTCTAGTGATAGTATTAGGTACATTTTTCATTCCAAGAAGCACTATTGGTAGGGTGTTTAGTCAGTTTGTTTTTTTTAACCATTATAGCTGATTTTTTTTTTATCCAGGTCTATTATTCCATTTGTTTGGGTGAGTATAAGGTTGTAAAGATTAGCAAACATTTTATATATTGTGAACCAGCCATTCAAAGGTTTTTATTTTTATTTTTATTTATTTATAATAATAATGTCCTTGCAAATATAATGAACTTGATTGGAATTAGAACTCAACATCCAATTTCTCAAGCCAAACTAGTATCCATTACTCCACCATGCCTCTCTCTCTCTCTCTCATATATATATATATATATATATATATATATATATATAAGTATATATAAGTTTTGTTAAAAACAACTGAAAGGGTACTTCGGTTAAGTTTTTTATTTAATTTTTCTTGTGTTCTTATAATTTTTTTCTTTTCTGGACATAAAGTATGTAGATATTGTCTGAATGTTCTGTATGTTTGACCAGTTTTGGCTATTCTTAACCACAGTACCTTGTCAGTCGTTTTTAACAAAACTTGTATAAAAAAGAGATTGCTACCCAAATACATACATATATATATATATATATATATATATATATATATATATATGTTTTGAACAATAAAAAATATTAAAAAATTAAAATCTTCAGACATACTGGGTTGTATACTAATATTCTTTTGTTTTTATTATTATTTCAGTTAGATTCCTTGACTAGTTTTGGCCAACATGGCCATCATCAGGAGAAAAAATTCTGCTTGATAGTAGCAGTGAACTACAGAAATGAATATCTTAATGGAGAAAATTAACTTTTGTCTGTAGTTTTCATTTGTTTTTTTATTTTTTTTTTAACATGAATTTTGGTCAGTCCTTGTGTTGGTCAAACAGCCTCTTTTAAGTTGGTATTTAAAATAAGAGCTGGATGGATTCATGTTGCTCTGAATTCCCTTGGTCATTTTGACAGTTTTATTGGTTCCTGCAAAGGGGATGTGTCTCTGTTAAGTGTGTGTGTTATTTGGTTCTTAGGTGAGTGAGTATGATGTGCGTAAGTGTGTATATTACTATGGGTGTGTTATCATTTGGCTCATTAGGGAGTGAGTGAGTATGATGTGTGTAAGTGTGTATATTCTTGTGGGTGTGTGTATATGTGTGAGGCCTCAACACCTCCACAAGCATGTCTGTCTTGTGTGTGTGAGAAATGTGGGTATGTCCTGATTTGTGGGATTATATATTAATACTATCTATATTGTTAAATTTGTGATTAAGCCTGTCAGGATAGTGTGTTTATATATATATATGTATCTATAAAGACAATATTAATAAAAGAAATGACAAGAAGAAAATGCCAATATGTTTCATTCCTTGAGGAATTTCATCTTCAAGGAACAAAATGAGTTGGCATGAAAGGTTTTTCTCTTGTTTCTTATAC